AGAGAGAGAGAGAGAGAGAGAGAGAGAGAGAGAGAGAGAATTGGAACAAACAGTACTTCTCTTCTTTACTCACTTTTTTTTTTTTTTTTGGGTACTGAACTCTTTGGGCTCACCCACGACTGTCATCAAATCTGTAATTCAGAGTGCCAACTGAGTAGAGACAGATCCAGCACCTGATGGTATAAGCACAAATAGTCTGTGCTCACTTCACTGCTCACATTCCTCACTACTCTTACTATGGAATGGAAATGAAAAGGTGAAGAGGCCGGCATACGAGCATATTCATCTTTATTGTCACATTTTATTAACAATGCATTTATCAAAATGTAAAGCTGTGCCTTCTTTACAACATGTACATTATATACAACCTGCTGATATGAAGTTTTCAGTCCATGATTGGAACATATTAGACTTTACACATCAACTGATAATACCTTTTGTTACTTTCACAGTTGTACACATAAATCATTTTTTTCCAGCACATTCCAACTGTAGTTGAGGTTTCAGTATTATTACAGCTCATGCTAAATGCTTAGTGCTACATACATTAATTGTTTTGTAAGACATCCTCATATGCCGAACTGCAACACGACCCAATCCAGAAATGTGGCATTTAGGTTGGTATGATTGACAAGTGATTCTTGGAGCTTGTGACAGGTCCTGGAGCTGGTCCTTTTTTTGGAAAACTTTTTAGTCGCCTTCCAGACTGGTTATTTCAGCCTGCCCACTCTCCCCAAGGAGACACAGCAACTTGGTATACGCACTCCTGTTACACAGAGAGACGCGTCACATTCAATAAAGCATGCTGCTACAGAATATGTCTAGTTGCGTATGTAACACCTGCTTTTTGTCTAGACGACTTAAAAATAGTTTAAGGCGATGAATGCTGTCTACATGGCTTCCAGGATGTGATTCATGTGCTTGCTCACCTCAAGGCAATGTTCTTGCCCACTCCTCTTTTGTGTTCGGTGTTTCTCAGACTGAGAGACATGTTGGGGATGAGAGCTTGAACCACAGTGGGATCTAAAACAGCCACCATCTCCAGGACGCTGTACACCTGCCTGTCGTAAACACCCTCATTCTCCTCCACAAATGACCTAAGACCATTGGGATGACATAAGCAGATAAAAGCAGGATGTATAAAACAGGTGTTAATGTAGAATAGTTACTTTATTATGGTCTGTGCATCATGTGTACATTTTTGTCTGAATCACAAATGATAGTATAGACAGTCAAATAATTTTTTAAAATGCCCATTGTACAGAAATGTGAAGATGTGTACAGACTATTATGAGCAACAAAATGCAACAACACCACACAGCTCTAATACAGGTGCAGATATTTATCGCTACGCATTATAGTCAATTACCGTAAGACAGTGATCATCTGGTCGCACGGTCCCTGTGTTGATGCAGCGGCGCATCGCTCCACCACAAGCTGTAAGGCATCTGTGCTCGTTTTCCTCACTGCACATATAAAAAAAGCCCTGTGATATTACTGACATCATTATCCAAGTGAAGAGTGGTGAAAACTGTGAGCATTAGGTAAATGTTTACAAAATGCTTATTGATAAGTACTGTGATTATTGTACGCATTAAGGAGATGCCACACAAATCCCAGGCCTGGTCAATTATTATGTGAAGATCAATCAAAGCTGAGGTAAAACACACTTTTACATACTCTCCTATTGCTGCAGGTCATTGCAACATCAAGGAGAAGTAGATTGTTTGCATAACTATGGTTCTGTGAGTAGAAATAGTGACCTTCTCATGCTAGGAACACCTGCTGGACTACCTCATCAGTGCTTTCTGACACTACAGTGCACAGTTTCCTCCTCACCAGATCATCTTCCTGACATCATGCTAAACTGTGGTCATAAAAAACCTCTCTTTTACAGCATTCAATTTGTTGTCACATTCAATAATTACATTATAAAAGGTCGACTCCCAGATTGTTAGCCAAGCATATTTCCAAGATTAACTGTCTGTTACAGTATATTGTAATGTATCACAACAATTATGTTGCAATGCACGATGGCCGAACCACAAGACACACTAAGGACACACTGAACTGAAGGACACCTTGTCAATTACGACTTAAATTTCAGCAAATTTATTTCAGACTTAGATTACCTCAAAGTAAAAAAAACAAAAAAAACAAGAGTCTCTCAGATTCAAACAGTTAATCTTACCATGTGGCTCATTGACCAGCATCACACAGCGGAGCAGAGAGGGAAGAGGCAGAGTGAGGAGGGTGAGGTCTGAGTCGTTGTTTCGTCTCAGAAGCTCCAGCAGGAACATCAGGACTGATGCGAGGCGAGGAGCAGGGGCATGGCCTTTGAACTGCAGGAAGCTGTCGCTGTAAAATCACAGGGGTTCAAAATTACTTTAAGTTCTGAGGAAGAATCGTATCATAGTTTAAGAAGTAGTTCATGAAGAAACAGAGTGAAAAAGAGAGCGTGAATAGGTCTTTGATAGAAAGATTAAAATTGAAGCAATTAAAGTTGGTGTTGGAGTTTTTCTGTTTCAGTCACTCCTGAGACACTTCTTGAGTTTTTGATTTGTCAGAAGCGTTACTGAAATATACTCTAGATATAAAAGTCACGTCAAAGTGAGGTTACTTGTTGGACCACAGGAAAATCACATCTCAGTTTTAGGGGCCTACCGGAGCACTTCTAGGATGGTTCTCCTCAGTGCGGCTCCCCGGACGGTTGGACTGGCCTCACAGGCGGCCAGAAGTACCGGGTGGTTGGCAATGACGCCCATGGAGGGTGAGGCGGGAAGGAAATGGTCCAAATATCTGCGAGTAACAGAGCCAAGCTGCTGCTTGAGGTAAGCACCCTGGGACTGAGACACACTGGAGGCCACTGACAGTCCCTGCAGGAGAGTAAATCAACATTCCCAGAGCAGAGGAATAATGAACATATAGCTGACAGATGAGTGATGAGTTTTCATTGGTGTTGTTATGCTTTTTTTTTTAACACCAGCACAACACAACGGCTATGTGTTTGAACTGCTCAGAAGAGTCATGTTTTAGGCATTAACCCATAACCCTTCTGCTTGAGTATGGGTATGAGTTTGCGTGTACTGTATATGTTTGTTCCAACCTGTAGAAACAGAGGCAGGCTGTCCCTGAGAGCTTTGTCCTGCTGTGTGAGGTTGTGAGGAAGCAGCAGCCCATCCACAATGCGGAACAACAGCTGCTGTGCTTTGGAAGTGACCAGCAGGGGGCTCCAGTGCTTCACTATGCAGCCTGGATTGTATAGATTAGAGACAGTCATTGAGTCAGATACACAACTGGAATAATTCCTTATTCCAGTCTGTAACTCAAACTACACTGTAATAGCAAAGAGAGCTTTGGGTATTGTATGACATGTTTTACATATATGGACTTTTGCCCTACCGACAGCCCAGTATGCCAGCTTCAGTCCCTCCTGGTTCTTGCTGACCAGAGACGGTTTAATGTGTTTCAGGATGTCACCAATGTATTCCAGGGCTCTGGTCACCATAGCTGAGCGTTCAGACAAAAGCTGCAGTCCGCTGTATACACTGCCTAGAGCCTGACACCATGTGAGAGCAGATAAGGACAGACATTTATGGAAAAATTTGCATGTAAATGCAGGTTGCCATCGCAGAGACCAGATATGACAGTGATATACTTAGAATACATCACTTATAGTGCAGGCTCATGTAAACGTTTGGGAATTTTAATTTGACATGCTCACTACTATATTTACTATAGTATATGTTCCAGAGACTCAAAGGTGTAAATCATAGCCCACAACAGCAGTAGGGTAGCAGTAAGGTAAATATACAAAATATACATACATACAAGACTTACCACTGTTAAGACCATTAATACACGCCTGTGTGTTGATCAGCTGTGAGCGTGCATTACCTTGACAAACATCTCCAGGGCTGAAGTGGGCTCAAGCCTGGTGGCTGCTGGATGGAGGCTCGCTCTTTGCAGAAGACTGTCCACCTCTGGAAGCCTCAGCACAAGTCGGGTCAATTCACACAACTGTTGTTCCACAGCCCGGCCTGCAGACACAAACACTTCTGGTTCTTCAAACGGAAATGTATTCCATCTCTATTAAGAGATGGCAGCCAGGTACACATAACATACTACCAGAAAGGGAAACTACACTTCTAAAAATCTCAGGAAAAGGGATAGGGTCCTGGCCTGAAGGGGAGGTGGAAATTCTGATTGAGATTGCACTCTGTGATTATGATTTCATGCTAAAAGTTGTTCCTTTAACAGTTTATAAAGAATAAAAGTATAAATGCAATTGAAAAATTAATGTTATGTGTGATGTCATGAAAGTGATTTATCGCTATGTAGGTTGAAGATTGCTGCTGAGCGGTGTTACCTGTTCTGCTGTCAGACCCGTCTGGGTTCTTGTGAAGGTGCTGCTGTAGAACACATCTGAACCAGGCCTTCACTGACAGACTTTGTGCCAAACTCGACGTAGCAGTGCTAGAACCACCGCTCAGTGACGACACCAGCTCACTGGGAAAGATAGAGAGAAGAGGATTCACTGAATGTAATTGTAACATCTGTAGTTCTAACTGGGTGAGGTTTAAAGATCTGGTCTACTGCTGATGAAAATGATGAAGAAATATCAAGCATTCAGTAAGTGAGTGGCATATTCCTGATAACCAAAGACAAGCACAATATGTAAACAGCAGGAGGTGAAGGATCTGGTAAAAGTCACATTTTATGCCTTGTTTTGTTGAAGTGCTCACAATTTTTGTATTCTCATAGGAATGTATATGCCAAAAGGTCACACAGTTTTAGTAAAACATTAATAAACACTGAAATCCCCTCGTCTCTACAACACATCAATACCTCCTCTTATCACATTTCTAAGATGATGTACAGTTTTTCAGTGTTGCAGGATAGAGAGAGGTAAACATTTTTATGTGTGAATTGAATCATTACTTCATTTTATAACCTGCATTTTAGCAAAATCAAACTGTAGTGAAAGAAGGCTTAGCAGGCTGGTCTTCCAATCAATAAACAGGAGGTGTGCCTTTGCTCTGGCTTTATATTCATGTGTAGCACCTTAATATTACTTGGTAATGTCTGAAAAGGAATTTTGAGGCCCAGATAATCCCATTGTTTTGAACCCTTGAATGTAATTTTGAAGATGCACTGCGTTTTATTTTCTGTTTTGAGGCAAGAATGCAATTCCTTCATCAATACCTATTTTCACCATACCAAGGACACCCCCTGTCTTAATTGATTAATTAAGCTGTTATACACTTACAGGACATGTGGAAAACAATTCTGGTGAAGTGCTGTGCACCATGATGAAGCTTGATAGTTGACAGGAACACAGGAGTGCATTATTCCCATCTGACTGACCTGATTTTTTTCACATTAGAAGTGATAAGATGAAAATGTTTTGTGATTGAGGTGAAGGCGTCAGGGGCAGATCCAAAGGGCCAACTCTACCTGTTTTGGAGCAGATGGGGAAGGTAGCGAGTCACCAGAAGCGGGTGAACCATGTCATCCCAGCCAAAGCATTGCATGATGGACTGGACTGGGTTGGGTTGAAGGTCCTGGGGGGCAGAACTCGGTAGATCAAAGGCCAGCAAGGTAAAACCTGAGGAAAATAAAATTAGGTCAGTTGACGATGATAGAAATACATATTATAAAGTTATGAATCTCTTTCTGTCCCATGCTCTCTGAATCTTTACATTCTTAAATTGTCCTAACATCCTTCCTTTTGCAAGTAAAGCCACACTCCACTCCCTGCCTTCAAAATTCTCTCAAGTCTTTCCCTTAGTGTAAAATGGCTACATCAATATTTAATATCAGTCTTCAAGAACTCATATTGGTTGAAACTCTTTATTGCTCTCCCACACTTGCATCGTCTTTTCTTCACCTCTCTGAGTGTCTCTTTTTCCTTCCACTGGGTGTTACTGACCTGCAGCAGCATCTGCCAGCTGTGCTGGAGGGGTCTGAGAGAGGCGTAGGCTGCGCAGGAAGGGGAAGAAGTGTGCCCAGAGAGCGGCTGCTACCGCTAGGTGGCGCTCTTTCACCACACTGTTGGTAGCAGGCGCCCAGGCCAGGGTGGGCGCTGACTGGACACTGCGCTGATGGACCCGTCTGGAAGGACACAGGCACACATTCAGAAAAGGGAGAACAGATAAACAAATCTATCCAATGCAAAATCCAAACACAGCACTCCCTCTTGTGTACAACACCCACACCCCCTCAACACCGCCCTCTACTTTTTCAAATCCTTTTGCTCCCCTGTTTCTCTCTTTCACTCCTCCTTCATGTGTTTTCCCTCTCTTCTCTCCTGGGGGATTACTGGGTGCGGCGGTGCGCTGCAGTGTGGAGCAGAGCAGGGAGGAGGTAGATGTGGGGAAGGAGAGAAGGATATTATAGGCATAGAGTGGAGCCTAATGCTGATCCCCTGTACACAGACTATACTTTGGCTCTTCTGGCTCATCCCTGGCCCTGGCCCCAGCCGCTACAGCAGCCCCACAGTGGCTGGCATTAGCCCAGATAAGCAGCTGAAGGAGCTGTAATCTCATTTAGACGGGAGATGATCCTTCTGTCCCCCTCATTCACCCGGACGGGGGTGTGGGGAGCAGGGTTTAAGGTGTGCTGGGGAAGAAGGAAAGGATAGAGGAACTAGCAGCCCCCACTTCTATCTCATCCTCAACCATGCACTCTAGTCTGCTACTACATGCATACACACACACCTCTGTGGTGCCTTCCCTTCCAGCAAGGTTGCATCTAATCCAGAGAGAGCTGAGACAATCGATTAGAGTCTGAATTCATTAGCCTCGTTACTACTGCGGAATGGGCCTTTCACACCCATCAACCCTCATTGTACAAGACATCGTCAGAGACCCCACTTAATCCTCCTCACTGTGGCTTCTTATGTTGTACACACAAACACGCACACGCACACAAACACTCAAAGGCAACATACCATTAGGGACCACAGTTAAGCCTTCCCTCAGCTACATCCACTAGAAAGACACGTAAAACCAAAATATAGCATCCTAATAACGCTAGACAGACAGAGACACATCAAATACACACGAGGGCATAAGTTGAATTTACTCCGTGTCCTCTTTCACCTTACTTTGCAATGCATTTCTATGTGATGTACAGGTGTTTTTACATTTCTCATAATACACCTAACAGTAGTTGTCCTTGACTGTGAAAAGAAAGGCTCAATATCCACTAAAAGGTCTTAATGCTCACAAAGGGAAACGCTTCACTGGAAGGCTTGTATTTTATCAAGCCAAGGAGATGGGGATTAATTGTTGTGCTGAAAACAGATCCAACAGGGTGTGCCAATGCCAGCTCACCTCATCAACCAGCGACGCTGCCACCACCCCCCCCCCAAAGCAGAGGAGGGTCATGGGAAGAAATCAAACTGAGGAATTATGCCTGTGACTGGCTTCTTGCCTCAGCACCATGACGATGGCTATCAAGAGTGAATGTTCGAACCCTCCGCTGCCTCAACCGTTGGCAGAATAATTGTCTTAATGTGTGCAGATTCCACATGGCTCTTAATAGACATAATGATGCACAGGCTAAATTTGCCAGGCTACATAATTATCCATTAATTGTATCACAGAAAAAGCATTAATCACAAAAGAGATACCGAGAATTGCCAGGCCAAAGAATTATGTTTAATTTGGCGGGACGAATTGGAAAGAGAGAGCATGGTGTTTTTTTATTTGGTTAAATGGGTCAGCGTGGTCCAGGCCATAACACAGAGGGCCTCTGGGAGTTCTCTTCTTCTCTCTCTGTGGCCATTAATGTGCAAATGTGTGCCTTCCAACCCCAAGATCTAAGATGGGAAGTTTGGGAATTAGCAAAGCTGAAGAGATACTGTGTTACGGGAGCCTGGCATTGAAATAAGAAAGGAGCACACCTGGGTTAGTATTTCACTTTAGGTGTGGGGACATTTGTGTAGCTTTGTGTGTGTGTGTGTGGTGAAGAGTGTGGAATGTGTACACTAGAGAATCAAAGCAATCATACACCTACATGAAACAGTGAGAGGGCATGGTAACGCTTAATTTTAAAGTGTCCTTATCTTGTGGTTCAGCTCATTTAGTAGCCTTTTTAAAGTAGTGTAGGTATAAAGCGTTGGCACTACTTTGACTATTTACTAAAACTCCAAGTGAACACAGTATATATCTATTTAAGAAAAGTTAACTTAACAAGACAAACTCCAACATGTTTTTGCAGCACTGAGTATCAAAAAAGGTTGTTTGATAATAAATGCTTACTCAGATTTATAGTCTTCTTTGTGTTACCTTTCATTGCAGTTTCTAATTGAAAGCTGCTCTAATCTATGTTTCCCTGTTCAGAATGGGTAAAATGACTGCGTGTAATGTGAAAGGTGTCGCTTGAGGTGATGAACCCATAGATAATTATCAGCTGAATATTTTCTCACTGTCCTGTTTACAGGCCCCAAACTTTACTATTTTACTCTCCCGGCTGTCAGAGTTGTTTCCAGAAGCTGCAAGCATCCCATTTCAGCAAAATTGCTCTAATTATCAGACTGTATGCTGCCTGCCCAGCACCAAATGACAGACAGACAACGTTAACAACTAGCTGGAGCACACAGCGGAGCATGAAGCAGCTCAAAGCTCATTGCTTTGCTCAGGAGTTTGTGCAGGCCACAACAAAGCTTAAAAGAGTGAATTTGAGAGTAAATTGACCAGGTGGCCTAACCTATGACTCCAAATGACTCAAAAATAGGCAAGTGTTTGCAGTTATATGTTTAAAAGTTAATGATATAACAACTTTGTGTACACTTTCCCCAAGTGAGCAAAATTCTATTATTGCAGGTTCATAGAAACTTTGCACATTTTGGAGTGTATTTCATGCAAGCAATGTTCTACTTGCGATTAGATTTAGCCTTAATGTGAAATGAAAAAGCATTCTGCAGAAAGTTTGATTTTGTTTATAAAAGCAAGGTATCAGAAAAAAATGTTTTAAACAATACATCTTCTTGCTTGACTTTACTTTCAGTCATCACACTTGATTTCTGTTGGGGATTCGGTCTAACATTGCCATCATGGATAAACTGGGGCAAAATTAAAATGTTGGTTTTTGTCCAGGTTTTCAAATACATTTCTAACATAGTGGTGGAATTGACAATGCAAAGTTTGTTTTAAAGAACTATACCTTAGCACACCTATGGTTCAGGATTATTGTAAACAAGTTGGCTGGCAACAGCTTCTTAACACCAGATTTTATTCAGAATCTACAGGGAAAAATACACATTATTTCTCTGTCCATGCCTTTCAACTCTCACCTGATTTCTGTCTGCTGCATCCTCTGTTCCCACCTCCACCTCCCCACATAAACAGACACTGTTTCAGTTGTGGCTCTCTGACCTTCAGCTGGGGTCGTTCATGTAACGAACACCCGTGTCCTACAGCTGAACCCGTTCTGACGCCCTACTGACCATAGTCTCTCAACACACCCACCGCACTCTGCCATCCTCATAACGAAAGGAGGGTCCATGGAGGATCCCCTGGGCCCGTAACTCTAATCAGGGCTCCAGCAGCACCTGGCGAGGTTGACCTGGGGGCCACCGGACCTCCTGAGACTAACAGGGGCCTCAACGCAACACAGGTTCTTTACAGAAACTCATTCCTGCTGACAGCACAATTCTCCTATTGTCAGTATGAGAAGTGAGTAGACTCTGGGCTGGGTTGGGAAGAGCAGAAGAGATCTCTCTCCTCTGCTGTAGCAACTTATCAGATTAATAAAAGCTTAGCTTGGCCTTTGCCAGAAAACATTTGTCTGAATGTGTCTACTATCTGTGAGGCAGCGGCTATCATTGAATGATAAAAGAATGAGAAACTGAGTAAAGGTTTGAGATAGCTGGTGAATATTTCCACCAGCTCACTCACCTGAGCTGTGCGAGGATGATCTGCAGAAAGCCGAGCGCAGAATTCAGCTCAGATTGGCGGCAAGCAGGCAGCAACCAATCAAACCCTTCATTGAGCAGCTTTTCCTCTGATAGGCTGAGGTTGGTGCTTGTCTCAAACACCTCGGCCACACCCTCCAGGTAAGAGCCAAGTGGCCCCCAGAGGGCAAGTCTGCGAGAGACCTCTGTGGTCTTGTTGTAGAACTCCTTTGCCGTCTCATTAAAGGAGGAAGCCAGCCAGGTAGCCTGGGCACCAACATCCAAACCCCTCTCCTAAAGCAAATAGCAGATGATCTATGAGAAAAACCTGAACTTCCTAAACGGTCGGAAGCCTTTACGCTGTTGTTGATAACCAAGCATACCTGGAAAAGCAAGAGCAGTGATAGTTGACCTCTCCAGACGAGGGTGCGGTGTGCAGGAGGGCACTTAAAGGGCAGACAGCCAAGCAGTTCACAGGCTCTGCCGGCCACATCCTCCAGCTCTCCCTGCCTGGCCACGACCAGAAACAGCAGCAGAAAGTTCATGAGACCTCCCTCTGACAGCTCCTGCATCTTTTTCGAGGAGAACTTAGCGTAAATCCTGAAAACACAGGGAACAGAAGAAAGAGATAGGACAAAGATTTTCAAATATTTCACAAACGAGGGACAACCAGAAGCAAAAGTGGTCTGACAGATTACAGTGTCTGCTCTTTGCAATATCACTTAATACAAAGCAAGAAAATTGAGTTTAAAAAAAAAAAATTCCTATTTCAATTGTTTCTTCACTGACTGATCAACTTGTCAGAGGTGATTTGTTCTTCTGAAACCCCCGACTTTAAATGCTGACTAACTGAACTTTACACCCCCACTGTGCACCCCACCACCTGCCTCCATCACCCTCTCAGCTCCAGGGGAGAGGCTGGGCTGCCCAGTCTGTGTGTGTGTGTGTGTGTGTGTGTGTGTGTGTGTGTATGTGGGTGAGAGAGAAAGAAAAAGCAAGTGAGTGAGTAAGAATAGAGAACCACCCAGCACGCTGTTAGATCCTGCGGGCACTGTGGAGAAATGCCTTTAAAGATCATGTTAAATGTCAGAGACACTCAGACACACAGCAGTAGGCGCTTGGTCCCTCTCTCTAAAGCCAAACCAATTTACTGCAACACCAGAGAGAGATCAATAAAACCACACACACACATGCATTGCCACACATCCAGCTTGCTGTTTGCTCGCCTGGCAGGAAAACACAGAAGGCTAGAGCCCCCCCCCTCCACGCCCTCCCTTCCATCCCACCACCCAAACACAGATGCAGCCCACACAGGTGAGTAGAGCTGCTGTTTGGGTCAAAACACAAACAGCGAGCATCCCAAGACAAACTCAGTGTAAGAAGTATGACTGATACAAAAGGAGTGGAGAAAAACGAGAGGGGAACTGGGAAAGACTAGGTTAACACCAAAACCAGCTTAGTTACACCCACAGAGGACTATAAAAGGAGAAGGTGGCCAAGCATGCAGTCAGAGCGTGAGGGGAGGGAGATTTAAATAGATGAATGGGTAATATGTAACAGGGATATAAGCAGCGCACTGGGAGGCAGCAGTGGGGATTTTCTGTGTTCTCCCAACCTGTCTGTCTGTTTGTTTATTCCGGACAGCTTTTTTTTCCGGAGGCGAGCAGATGCTCCTAACTCCCGGCGTTGGAGATCAACATGCTCGCAGTCGATCCCATTAATGTGGTCGTAGCGGGTGTCCCGCAGAGCCTGGCCAGGATTGGGAACGTTGCCGAAACGTTGTAGCAATACAGTCGCATCACGCCTCCTCAGGGGGAGGAGGTAGTGGTGATAGTTTTGGTGGAGGGAGGTGGAGGAGGGGGGACCTGGACCTGTCCCAGCCCAGCTTGGCTGTTGCCAGACTGCCTACCACCCACATCCCCCCCGCTCCCCACCACCCAAGCTCCCCTCTCTATCCGTGTTGGAAACCAACACAGCTTCGTTAAGGCGAATTAACCGCCACGCTCGTTAGCTAATTAGCCCCCATGTCTGCAGCGCTACTGAGCACATTCCAGACAGAGGGAAGTCATTAGGCGGATTTATCTACGGCTGCCTCTCTCTGGCACCCAGCCGGCCTGGGATATAGGATGGTCCAGCGCTTGGTTCTGATGTGCACATCAGCTTGGACTCTTCTCTGTGATTTTCTCTTATTTTCTTACCCAAAGACACACATTCTCCTTCTATTTAACAGCCTCACACACTCTGTAACCATGTCTAGGGAGCAGGTGCACAGCGTGTGTGATTGTGTGTGCATCAGTAGGAGGCTTCTTGGGTCTGGCCTGTGTTGAAGAGCAGGTGGTTGACTCCTGAGACACCTGCTTCACTGGTGGGCCTGAGTAAATATCAAAGACGCACTGGGAGACTGTGGTGCACCTGGCACACACACAAACAAGACTCAAATACATGATAGTTTGCAAACACACTCATGCTGTGTGTGTGTATTCAAGTATGAACCCACACACACATAACCAAAATCCAAACAGCACCTTCAACACATCACACATTTGAAGATCAAGTGGAAAAAGGAATCCTATGAGGCCTAGCCCTGATTAGTAATAATTTCTGACTCCAATCCAAAATCACACCTTATAATGTTCATAGTGTTGACATGGCTGTCTGGTTGTAAGACCTACTTTTCAAGGTGGAAGCAAATGTGAAGGAGCGAGAACTACAAAGCTTCCCAGCCTTCTCTTCATCCTTACCTCCCTTTGATCTGTCTCTGTGGGACTCCACCAGCCCTGTCCTGGGCAAGGCACAGGGCCAGCACTCGAAGGAAGATGTGGAAGGAGTTGGCAGAGCGATAGAGCTGGGTGTATCCTGGAGACCGGAGGGGAGGAGGGCTGCAGCAGCTGCGGGCCTGCTCCAACAGAGCTAGAGGCGTCTTGCACAAAGTGCCCAGGCCAGACATCCCCAGCCAGGGCACGGTGAATGAAGCATTCTGGAGAGAAGTGACAGAATATAATATAACTGTAAATAGAAAACTGTGCTGCACAACCTTCTTAATCACATGACAAACAATTAGAAGTGTACTGTGAGTAAAAAAAAAAAAAAAGTTAAAATGATTCAGTAGACAGAATTTCAAAAAATGGTGGTAAGGTTCAATGCCAATGTAAGCTAATGGTGGTCTAATTGCAGCAGATATACTTAAAATGAGGCAGAACATCACGTTATAGCACATATAGTAAAACACATTTCATAATTAAAGTGCCCATGCAACTTCATTTCCTTGCTTGCTCTAGGTTTGTCCTCACCAGGTTCTTGCTGTAGTAGTCCCAGAGGGTCGAGACAACGCTGGTGCTTGGTTCCCACAGCAGACACAGACTGAGGCAGCAGTGGACATGCATCCTGACCTGCTCCTCTGCTAAACCTCCCTGTAAGTAAATACGCACAATAGGCATGTTGTTGAAATTAATATTTAAAATAGTTTTTAATAATTATGAATTCAAAAGGTTAAAAATTGATGTGTGGCTTGAAGCAGTGCTGACCTTGGGGTTACAAGTTAACTTGAGCAACTCTTCCACAAAAGTCCAGTTATCTCCCAGATGTTTCTGCAGGTGCAAGCAAAGTAAGATGCAAGATACACTTAAAAAATACACATCACTGGCTGATAATCACACTCTAAATAAAAATGTATGCTGTCAAAAAGTGTGAAAAGTCAGAGTTGTCATCATATAAATGAGCTTAAAATAGATAATTCCTGCAACTAGCACACCTTTTCTCTCTGCTCACAAATGCAGTCTCATATCAAATTTTAAAATGATTTCAGAAGTGAAAGAGTCTTTTCACTGAGCAGTAAAATGTCTTCAAAACCACAACTTCATTCCAGTATTAATTTGGTAATTCTTGACGTTGCACTACCTGAACAAAGTACACATATTACAATATTTTTACAACAGAGTTTCTTCTTAAACAATATTTTCAATATGTGGGTGTAGACTAGGGCTGCAAGGTGGAGCAGTGGTTAGCACTGTTGCCTCACAGCTAGAAGATTCCCGGTTCGCGTCCTGGTGGGGGCACTGTGCTCTTTTCTGTGTGGAGTTTGCATGTTCTCCCTGTGCAACGTGGGTTCTCTCCAGGTTCTCTGGCTTCCTCTCACAGTCCAAAAACATGCTGAGGTTAATTGTTGATTCTAAATTGTCCGTAGGTGTGAATGTGAGTGTTGTCTGTCTCTAAGTGAAGCCCTGTGATAGACTGGTGACATGTCCACGGTGTCCCCTGCCTTCACCCTGAGTCAGCTGGGATAGATTCCAGTCCCCTGTGATCCTTGTGAGGATTAAGCAGTGTAAAGACAATGGATGGATGGATTTTTTTTTTTTTGCTGTACTTCTTCAGATAATGATTAATTTTCCTGACTTCCTGGTTATAAATGCAGCAATCAGTATCCTACTCTGTAAAACACATTTATATTCATGCCCAGACTATTTGTAGTGTAACATCCCAACATATCAGTATTGTGACTCTTAGTCTCTTACCTCATTCTGGATGGTGCCGTTCCGGCTGTACTGGCCTAACATTGCTAAATGAGTGACCAGCCACCATGTGAATCCCAGAGGGTCTTTACAGTGTGTGGGCAGACCACTGAACTGCTCAGCTGCAGGCTTTCCAGAAACCAGGGGCCTCAGCAATGAGTTCATGTAGCTCCAGAAAGACTAGAGGGAGCAAACATTGTTTAATTGAATGTGAACCATGTCATACTTTGATGTGCGAGTGTAAAAATGTGTGTATTTTGAGTTACCTACCTGTGTGTGCAACACTTTATTCCTGTATTCCAAAAGATACATGAGCAGAACCCATAGTTCTTTGGTGCAGGTGCAAAGGTAATGGTGGCTGCTTAGTGCCTCTGTAGGCCTCACCTAAAAAAACAACAGCATCCATTCAACACACAAAGCTAGTTAGCACTTTCAATGCACAACTTCTGTCTAATTTCTGCTAACCTGATAATAATTATGGCAATTAAATCACACTCACTGCTATATTTTCACGAAACAAAAAGATTTAAAAAAAAAAAAAAAGACAAACAAAAAAACAGATATACTATTGGTACATCTGGTGAGAAGCAATGAGCCACCCACCTTGCTGTATTTGCCTATGGCCAGACCAGTAAGGTCACACAGCAGATTGCACAGGTGTTCGTCAAACAGACTGATATCAGTCAGGTTCTCTCCTGTCAGGTTCACAAACTGGTGGGCGTACACAGCTTGGCCTGGGGAAAAGAACAAGTAAAATAACAAAAAGCCTGTTTCCATGATAATAGAATAATGGATAATGGAATGCAATATGATAAAATAAACACACGCCACATTTCAATATCTTTAGTTCCCATTTCCTGAGTATTTTTGTGCAAACTTACCTTGCATCTTGTGACCAAGTAGATGAAGGATTTCCAAGACTGACCAGTGGATATCAAGATGAAGGTGTAACAAATGCCAGGAAGGAGGGAAAATCTGTGGGAGGAATGCAGAATGCCAAGTTCATTTTGATAGAAGCAAATCAGCTGGGTGGTGGAAGCAATAAAAAAAACAAACAAACCCCCCCCAAAACTATGGTCGTACAAGTCATTGCTGAGTTGAACAAAAAAAAAAAACAAACAAACCCCCCCCAAAACTATGGTCGTACAAGTCATTGCTGAGTTGACATAATTTCCATTGCCTCGTAAATCCTAAGTACAGTCGTGCCATCCTCACATTTGCCGAACCTGTTTCAAAGCCCTACATCCTTTACAACAACCTGATGCTTATGTAAAATGCACTTTACATTATATCTGTGCTGGGGTCACATTTATGCAGGCTAACCAACGTTTAGCAGTACCTTTCCGTGGTTCTGTATAGTGAAGGCACTTTGAACATTAGCAGGCAGGTCTTTGAGTCTTCCTATGAGGAGAGTGATACCCAACAGCTCCTCCAGAAGAGCAGAGGGTAGCTGAGCCTCCAACTCCTCATAAGGATGTGAATAACTGCCATCTAGGGACCTGGAAGGCTCCAGATATCTGAACAGACACAAAAAAGAGGACATGTTCATCAAAAAATATATATGTTAAAGCTGGTGAACAGATGACAACACTGTAATACATTGATAAAAACATCTTAGTGCCACTGTGAACATTAATTATGTAGAATTACCTGTACAAGAAGACTTTGACATACTGAAGAAATAAGACACACTGTTGTCTCAGGTCGTCTGCTTCATAGTGGAGGTTACCTGCTTGACCTAGAACACAAAAGTGGTATTGTAGGCAGTGCTGATAACTTGCCTGTTGTATCAGAAATCAGACATGACTACAACACAAGAATAAAGCAAATTGATCTCTATGGTGAAGTCATTTGCTTGAACAGTTCAGCAGAGCAATGACTGTACTTGTTTAAGAACTGCAGACAATTATAAAAAACATACACATTATACACAGACTTACCAAAGTCATGGGAGCTGGACTGTACTAAAGTCTCCAATTTGAAAAACTTTTGTCTGAAACATAACAAGCACACATTAAGCATACATGAGAAATCACGCTAACAGTTACTCAGTTAATAAACGTTTTGCTGCAGTGGCAACAGATATTAACTTAAATATATATATATATTTTAAAAGCAAAAACATTTGAAATCTGTTTTTTTGTCTTCACTTACCTGAACAGACCAAATAGAAGCTTTGTAGATTCCACCAATGCTGTCTCTGTTACCCAGGGAAAGCCAAAGATGTCCACTGTGTCTGTCTCATAGTCTGCAGGAGCCGGGTCAAGACGCAACAACAGCCTACAGAGTGGATGCATTGGCAACGGTAAGAGTATATTTGCAAAGGTTCTTCTGCCAGAGTGACTATTGCTGCAACGTTAATGGAACGGAGGCAACTGGAGTTTCATTTGTGTTTGCTCAAAGCAACAAAATTAACCTCCGATTTAAAAAATAAATTAAATTTAAAAAAAAATCAGCATTAATGTGTGTTTCCCAAAAAACTTTATTTTGTAGAAAAATGCACAGATGCTTATGTGGGCAATTTTCAGCGGGACTGTTTCTCTGGCACAAAATAGGCAGGAGGAGTGAAAACTGCTGACATTGACTGTACCGTTTCAGGGAGCCTCTTGCTGTGTATCCCTCTGTGGAAAGCGCTCCGGTGGGGTCATCTTTAACTTCAGAGCAGCGGAAGCATGGGGGTTGGGATGGAGTCAGCTCACATAGGCTGTCTGCTGCAAAGGGGGAGACTGGTGGGGTGAGGGACTGGCTGAAGTCATCTGCCATGCTGTCATGAATCAGTATCACCTTGAATGACAAAGCGCAGTGGAGAGATATTACAAGAAAGCTGATTTTGCTAAAAATGAGGTAATATGCCATTACACACAAACAGCCATTCACGTACAGTGTTGAGATGATCCACTAATGAAAAGCAGATTATATGTAAGCATACCCTAATGTTTAAAGAAACATATCAAATAGTTACTGTACATCATACACTCAATAACTTTACACGTTTGATCTAAAGTACTATATTAAAACTACCACGAGCAGTCACACAATATTCAGAGGATAGTATCGTATTTTGAGTTACATACGTGACTTAATTTGTACTGACCTGTATACTTGAGCTAGCATTTCATTGTGCACATAAATAACATGGCTCACCTGACTAAATAGCACGACACAATGAATGTAATAATCAGTAGCAGTTATTAAAGGCGTATTCATTCTTTTCACCCCTCTCTCTCTCTCTCTCTCTCTGTTGATGCATTTGCAAACAGATAAGTGAGCATCTTTATTACGTTAGCCTAAACTAAGCTAACTTTCGTAGTCACGTTATGTTTACTGCACATACAGCGCTCGTACAGTAAAGTAGCAGGAGTTGTAACACCGAAACCACACAAAACATCATTCCCAAAACACACCCGTTACTTAATCATCGACTAACCTTGTATTTGTGCTTCTTATGTAGCGTAATATTGGGTTTATTCAAAGCAGTAAAGCAGAAAGACTGCCGCTGTCATGCCTCCGTTGTTTGGGTTTTCAGGCTGTCGCGCGCCATCGCTTCACGCATGCGCAAACTCGCTCCGCGCCCGATGATTGGTCGGAAGTTTCACAGTGGGCGTGGCCTAGTCCCTCCAGCGGCTCACACAACAAGAGTTTTCACTGCAGAGTGCTTCCTCCGTCGCATTGTTTCTGCGGGTAGAGTTTGTAGTTGTCGCATATATTATATTTAGAAGTGTTGTGGTCGTTTCTGTATTTCTCAAGCGGTGTGTTGAAAAGCAAACTAAATTTCTTCTGCACACCAGTAGCAATGCTTAGCTGCCTGTTAACACTGAAAGTAATTAGCTAAAAATGCTATTTGCTATATGTTAACACAGTTCAAGTCGAAATTCAGTTCTTACAAAAAAGTTAAATACCTCAGACAGTTAAAGACTTTAGAATACTGTACTGCGACGATATGTATCAAATGTCTCAATTATTATCTTTTAAACATTTTTTTAGCCCTTTGTTCCTGAAACAGAATTGAATTAAAGCACCTGTTCCCTGACTTTTCCACAAGCTATGTCACACACGGTTCCCCTCTGTTTCACGGCTGCGGTTCCGCCCAAATTAATACAAAATAATGCAGTTTTTTAAGGAGAATTTTAACCACGCTAACCCTAATTTCCATATGCAGATCTGTCTCTCCCAACAGTCCCTCTCGCCATCACATCATTTCTTGCATTCTAATGCATTCTCACATCTTTACAAAAAATCCCCCCTTCCGCCACACGCCGTGGATGTGCGCGTTTTGTCGACTTACAAATCGTTATTTCTGCACGTTTGACTTCTCCAGTGAGGAGATGCACGATACATGCGGCGTTTTGCATGCTTTAATTTGCATCTTTTATTACCAGGAGTCAGCGGAGACAGTAAAAATGGACGCGTCGGGAATTTTTTTTTTCTGTCTTGACGATGCATCAACCTCCCGCTCTGCTTTCAACAGGAGGCGTCTGTGTGAGGGCTCTGTCGCCTGGATGGGAAAGGTAAATGCTTTTCTTTTTCTGTTCCTACGCTACAAACCCATTCTATCCTTTCAATGCACTGTGGTACACGGAGGGAGTGAGATTTGAACCTGTTTCACACACACACCCCCTCCCCTCTCCCTCAAATGAAGCCGAGCCTCATTTCCAGGCTTTCATGCACTGGACCAGGTTGAATTCTGTTGTCTGGACAAATTTCACCACAGTTTAAGACTCGAGACTAACAATGTGGTGACTGTAAACTAGATTCACCTCCATTTTTTCTGGATGCACTTATTAATCCACATCATCCCCTCCCCTTTTAATAGCAGGGAGGTATAAAAGGATTTGATGCCTATAATGGATGCAGTGGGACTTTATTATGTTAAGGTGATAACCTGGTGTTGTAATTACTTGCAGCCTTTTGAGGCTTCCAGATAGACTTAATGAACTCTGTGTAAAGGAGAGAATGCTGTAGTTAACATATGGATAACTACTGACTGCTACAGAAGCAACATCTGTTGAAACCAGAATCCACACAGTAAAATGTAATAATGGCCGTAGCTGTACACCTCTACAGGTGTTTCCTATTCATACATGATTAGCCCCCATGCATGAAGTATCTGGGTGGAGCTCTGCTCAGAATATACCTTTTGTCATTGTTAGATATTTTGACTTGGTAAAGCAAGACAATTTCACCTGTAAGTAATACTAGTACTAATTCCTCTGGTGTTTTAAAGTCCCCCCATAAACCATATTGGAAACAAACATGCATAAAATCTTGCATACCTAAATGGGTAATATTAAAACTGTTTAAATGCACCTGCATTCCACGGAGCTCCAAAACTGACAAAAAGTACCAAAAGACTGTCAGACCACAAAATAGAAATTAATTCCTTTGGTTTATGATTATACAGAGTTTAATAGAATTTTTTTTTAAAATGCTTTAACCATAATGTTTTATTTGTCCTTGTATGTCCAGGACAAGAACTGATCAATGTGTTCTCATGTGACATCATTAGTTAAACCAACTGAGCACCAACCTTTTCCAGCTACCTAGCTAATTGCTGCTAAGTTTCGGCATAAAGCTACACTAGCCACTGCACATGGAGTGGAAAATATATATGAGAATACTTGTAAAAGTTCTCTGGCACAACTGGAAACAAGGGGCTTAACTCCCATTTTGTGAGCACAACTGTATCATATGAAGCCTTGTATTACTGTTCATGAAAATTAAATGTTTGAAGCAATTAAAGAGAAAATGGGAGGAAAGCTGGCGATTTGTTGCTTCAGGACAATGCGCCTGTCCACACAGCACAGGGTTTTGAACTGTTGTCCCATAAACCTTACTCATCCGACCTGCACCATCTGACTTTTGTCTCCCAAACAGAAATCCCATTTGAGTGTTCACCATTTTCAGTATGTTGATTGAGTCATCCATTCTGTTAAAGAGTATCTGGAAGCTCAAAATGTGACCGTCTTCCGCAAAGGGATAGTGAAGCTTGAACATCAGTGGACCAAGTGCACTGAAGTTTAAGGAGACCATGTTAAAATGTAACTCAAAAACAGTCTTCTTCCTGTGATGATTTCTGGTGAGGCCAAGAACTTTTTGAAGTACCCTCGTATATATCATACTCAAAATCAAAAACATGTTTCAGCTGCTGCTTTGTTTACAGTCATAACAATGTTGGCAGTAGCGGAAGCAATCCATCACTGTCTGAGAGCACCTTAACCGTCCTTCCGTAATAGGTGTAACAAAGCTAAGAGAAGGCTCATTAAAGTTTGAATCCAACACACAGTCATGATTGGTGGTCTAATCCTTGCAAATAATTAAAAACACTTGTGATCAGGCTCTTACTCCCATTCATGACCCACTGCAAGGTCAGCCACAGATCAGCTGCTTGTAGAGGTGCAATGCTTTAATCAAGGACTTCTTGCATTCCATCTAGAATAGTAGCCGAGCTAGAAACGAGAAAACAGCTAGCCTGACTGTGTTTAAAGGTGACAAAATCTGCCGACAACCATATAGCTTTAAAGGTCAGTTTAATTCATACACAAATCATAGTGTAAAGATGTTAAATCAGAAACTTGTGGGAAGTGCCTGATTGTTTCTTGGCAAGGATCAGTAACAATCTAGAGTCTCTGGTTTTTGATGGGCAATGTGTCCCACGTATTAAATTATCCGATTTAATAAGTTTTGCATTTCTGTCACTGTATTGCTGATACTTTGAGATGGGAGTGATTACCCTTTTTATTGTGTTTATTGTCTTGATTGATGACACAAAGACAAATTTCCTGCTCTGATGAGACAAGCAGTTGTTATTGTTTTATTGTGAATATTGTCTTAAATAAAAACTGGCCCTCTTGATATTTTAGAGTCTCGCTGTTTAAGCCTGACCTCAAAACAGCCATCTGAAAAGTTTGGTTGGACTAATAATAATGTGGACGTTGTAAAATAATGTTATCCTATGACCGGTAGTTTGACCTCTGAAAATCCTGTACAATACAATTTCACCATTAACTCCTCCTCTTTAAGGAGTATAGTCAGAGGCCTGTAATGACTTTGCATAATGAGTTACATTCTTTTTTTCATTGGGTCTGCTTCCTAAAAGATCTCTGTATTGTACAGGGGCGAGTGCTAGTCTCTTTTATCTCCAGAAAAAAAACCCTTGTGGCTACAGTTTGATCAATTAAACTCCTGAAAGGGCCCCCTCCCTTTCATTCCTCTGCCTGAGAGGAATATAAAGTTATCAGTCTTCCCAAGCGATATGAGGATGGAAATAAGTAGTTTGTCTATAAAAATGTCCAGGTACTTTATCAGCGTCCCAGTAGGCCTCGAGGCCCTGACACTGTTCAATGTGGCTCTCCAGTACGCCAGTCTCATGTGCTCCCTCACTCCCTCCCTCTCTCCCTGTCTACTTTGTCTCTGCCCGAGGCCGGCTCCTCGCTGGGTGGGGTGTTCGCTCCCAGCCCAGCACCTCAGCGGGATTGACTGGGGCTTGAGCCCCAAGTGAGGTTATCGATTTCAATCAGTGGCTTGGAAGATAGGAGCTGAATGATGCTGTAGACTTAAAACAGTGGTCAGCTGCATTGTTTGTTGTTTGAGGGGGAAAAATGCTGCAGGAGGATGCACTTTGCTTTTGACGAGAAGTCAGATAAAGACACAACAGAATTACTTATAGGAGGAGATATCTTAATCTTCTGATTTTGAGTTTTACTGTATGTTTGTGGGTGTATTTTGCAAGTAAAGTGGCTGAAAAGGACTAAAAAGGAGCAAAATTTCAGACTGCAAATGTTGCATCTTAACAATTAACCCTAATCTTCATGACTGATAAATATATTCTTTTGATAAAATGATTAATTTGGGGAGGGGGGGCATAAAATTTGAGAAAATACTAACAATTGAAATTACAACAGCTCGAAACACAAATGTGTTTAGTTTAATATCACTGAACATAAACAAAAAGCAAGAAATTTTCTCATTTGACAATTTTAGCTTTGTTTGTATAAAACGTGACTTAAACCATATAACATCTACCACTTGAACAATTGATTACTCAACCAATACCTGCAGCTATGTACATGTAACCAAGTTGAGCAGCCATTTGTATGAACAGTTGACATACATGTAGGAAGCAATTGGCTAAATGCAACACTTCAGTGAATGGTTCTGCTAATTGAATTCAATATAAACTAATGCATAGAAAAACAAATTGACCAACTTCACGGATCAACAGTAAATGTTGATTGCATAATCTGGAGAAGGGAGTGGGAGTTTCAGCAATTAATATGCCTGAACACTGCATTCTTCCAATAATACATTGGGTGTTTTACTCGCTGAGTAGCTGGTGATTAGACTGAGGTGACAACTTTTTGTTCCGTCATTGTTAACAGGAAAGTACATGCATAAAGAGTGACTGATAAAGTTCCTGTTTTGCTTAAAGAAGGAAGTTAGTTCACACAATGAGAGCACTGCAGCTTTTCTGCTCTCAGAAGCATTTGCATCAAGGCCAGGAGATTAAACGTGTGGGTTGGGAACTGGAGAGAGTGTGTTGTCTCGCTTGGGGCCCCCGATGCCAGAGTTCTAGCTTTCATCGCGCAGGGTGAAAGATTTCTCCTGGACGTTTCACTCTGTGTGGCTACAGGTGGGTGGTTCACATGCTGTAGGTGGCAGCCACAGTGGATTTAATGCAAAAGTACAGAGGAGGTGGCTGTGGGCAAATTATTTCACAATTGCCAATGTTCAATACTCTGCACTGAGATGCTGAATCCCACACTCTATAAACTCATTTGTGTAGTTAGATGGTATTTGAAGTGTTATGGTAATATTTTATATCGTAGGTGTTTGTATTTTTCTAATATAGATATATGCATTGCCAGTGCTTAGACTTAGACATTCTAAAGAACCGATGAAGAGTGAAGATATCCAGTGGGATGCTAAATACTGCTTCATATCAGTTTGCAAAAGTAAAACGATGTCTGACATGAAGAGCAGGAACAAATTCATTATAGAATCATTTCCGTCATGTTTCAAGCAGAAATGACAAATGCTTGGTTGGTCCAGCGTCTCATATGTGAGATTTTTCTTTGCCATACATCAACGTAATCTGATTGTCTTTGAATGTTGTACTGCTGGTGGAATTAAATTAAAATATATTACAATTTGGTAATGTTGTGATTCTAAGAGGGTTTTTTGACTATTTTCCCACATTTTACATATAAAACAATCAATCAAATAAACCACAGACTGAGTAAGGATGAATAATTATTCCATGCAGTCCTCCTGATAATGCTTTTCTTCACTATGTGATGCCGTTTCATGTCAGTTTTATGGAAAGCTTGCAGCAGGATGGCTTACTTTCTGCTGAATACAGACTCAAGTCATCATTATGGAATGCAACAACGTGGGCTATTACTGAAAAAATGATCCAAACTGTACACGATTTACATGAGTGAATGCATTTTGATAACCAGTTGATCCTTTTCTCCTAAATCTTCTTTCAAAGCCTCCATGTTCAGTACAATTGTGCTGGTGTTTGGCTGCCTGCTGCAGAGGAAACTAGTGACCACAGAGGGGCATCATGGGACCAATCGCCATGTTTTCTATGCAGTGCAAATGGATGGAAACACCAGAGCAGCCAGAGCTCTGGCCAAGCAGCACGGACTGGAGTTCATACAACGGGTCAGTGCATGTTTAAAACCTCTGTTATTACCTCCACCTACGGGCCTGCAATGAAATTTTCAAAATCCCTTCACTGAGGGCTTCTTTTTTTTTCTTTTCAAGAGCTGCCAAAGTGCTGACTTCTATTTCCTATTTGAGGGATATCTGACTTTCATCAAATTACAGCAGCGTTTCTGAATATTTCATATCTGATCAAAGACGCGTCGAGTAGGCTGTCCACACATACACACACAAACGTATGAAAGACACATACATGTTCCCAAAAAGAACACACATGCACAGATATGCACACCTCTGTCTCACCAACCTGTCTAGCCTGTGAGAAACTCCTATATGTGGAATAAGCTCCAGTGGAATGTCTTTGGAGATGATTGGGTCTTTACCTATTTGCCTGAGTTTTAATCTGTCATGCTGAAATCTTTCCATTTGTCAGAAGACTAGATGTGATTTATCCACATCAATACTTTAAAGGTTACTTTGGTTGTTGAGTCTGAAAGTATGTCAGCTCCCTCAAAAAATGTTCACGGCTTCACTGAAAAATAAGGGGCTCAGAGCAGGTCTTGGTTAGGTGGAATACAGAAGTTGTGCTTTTTTTTGTAGGAGCAAGTTCAAAGAGGGGGTTCGAGGGTATGAGAGATTTTGAAATGAACTTCGTCTGATTCTCTTGACTGTGAATCTTTCATGAAGATTCACAGTCAGAAATATTTAAAAGGTAAGAGCCCTTATGAATTGACATCTAATCCTGCTGTGCGCTGTTATACTCAGGGTTTTAAAAGGGATTCTTTTATTTAACTTCTTCTTTTGAATGTAAAGACTGACTAATCAACACAGATTCTGAGGATAAAATGTACTATTTAATTAAAAACACTGTGTAAGCAATCCATTGTAAAAATTTCAGGTGATAAAGCACCCATCTACTGTAAGACCGTGAATACAGTGAGAATGACCTATAAAATGCAATAAAAAAAACATGCAGGTTGTTGCATTTAAAAAAAAAAAAAAAGGCAAATCAGTGAAATACATTTCATGCATTTTAACTCTGAATGTTTAGATATTTTATTTGTATTTTTATACTTCTGTGTGGAATTGATCACAGATCAAACTTTCGAAGTGAGAAATCACAGAAAATATTACATCACTTCAAAAAGTCCTCATGAAAGGTTTTAGTTGCACTTCATTTGTCTTCAGTGTAAGGTGCTTTGTTGTCTTTTGGAAGTCCTCAATTTTTTTTGATTTGAACTTACTGATAAATGATACTGGTCGGTGTGTATACGTGCGTTTTGACATTATTGACAAAAGTTAGTGGGAGTGTCCGTTGGCCTGGTGTAGGGCTGTGTGCAGCATTGCCTTGGGGAAATGGGGACGCGAGCTCATTTCAACCTTGGCCCTGCTGCCTCTGCTGCTGCTGCTGCTGCCTGGATCATGAATAAAACATCTCTTTGACCTTTATCAGGAGTGTATTGGACAGTCCACCCCCGTCTCTGTCTTCCTCTCTGCCCGTCTCTTTCTCTCTCTCTCT